CACACACACTCACACACACACACACACACACACTCACACACACTCACACACACTCACACACACTCACACACACACACACACAAACACACAAACAGACACACACACGGTAGCCAGAAAAGAAACCCAACGAAGCCCTACCTAAATCGATCTGATTTTTAGAATCTTAAAACATTATGATAACACCACTAACGTCAACATATCTCATGTATAATAGCATACTATAGCATATTGCACAGAAAAATGATGTAAAAAAGAGCCAATTTCGCAGATTGCACCTGTCTAGAAGTGGAGTTTTGAATGTTTAACATGTGGAAAACTTTTCTCTGACAGAATTGGTCCAATTGGCCATGGGAATACACCACCAGTCACCTTAACTTTTAATGCTTCTATCTTGCTTGAGGAATATTCTCTCTCTCTCTCTCTCTCTCTCTCTCTCTCTCTCTCTCTCTCTCTCTCTCTCTCTCTCTCTCTCTCTCTCTCTCTCTCTCTCTCTCTCCACACCCCACCCCTCCCCAACCCCACTCACTCCACTGAAAGAACAAAGGGTAAACGCTAGCTGTTCTGCTCACCCCCAGACTCTGAAGTCACCCCCATACCGGGCAGCGCTGACCCAAGAGAGGTCATCACACCGTGCAGTGCTGACCCCAGCGAGGTCATCGGGAGCAGACTGTGAGGGTCAGAGGTCACAGGGCCGACACACAGAGGCTGGTGGGACACCAGGGGGGTAGACGACGCGGGAAATGCAGCCTGAGGGAATAGTACATGGCGTAACTGGGTCAAGACATCCATGGGTGCACCGGTCAAAGCATCCATGGAGGTTATCGGTGCACCGGTCAAGGAATCCAACGGTGTACCAGTCAAGGCATCCCTCGGAGCACCGGTTAAGGCATCCATGGAGGTTATCAGTGCACTGGTCAAGGAATCCAACGGTGTACCAGTCAAGGCATCCCTCGGTGCATCGGTCAAGGCATCCATGGAAGTTATCGGTGCACCGGTCAAGGAATCCAACGGTGTACCAGTCAAGGCATCCATCGGTGCACCGGTCAATGTGTCAATGGAGGTTATCGATGCACCAGTCAAGGCATCCATGGAGGTTATCGGAGCACCTGTCAATGAATCCAAAGACATTATTGGTACTCCGGTCAATGCGTCCATAGAGGTTATCGGTGCACCAGTCAAGACGTCTATCGGTGCACCGGTCAAGGCGTTAATGGAAGTTATCGGTAAACCGGTTAAAGCGTCCATAGAGGTTATCTGCTGATTGGTCACTCTCCTACTGTTGGAAAGAGCAAAGCCAGGGGGCGGAGCCACGGAGGGTACGTCAGCCGTAGGGGACGGAGCCAGGGTGGATGACCCCACCCCCCGAGTCGTCGGTTGGCCGCCGGATGGACGCTGCGACGCCTTCGAAAGACGACTTTTGGTGAAGTCCAGAGGTTTGGCTTTCTTCTTCTTTTTCTCTCCTCCCTCGGCCTGTCCGTTCGATGAAAGCGACTGAGCCGGCTGAGGGGCTGGTTCTGTCTCCTGCGGCCGCGCGGCACCGAGTATCGAACCTCCTCGCTTTGTGACCACAGACGTAGGTTGAGGTAGGTCATCCCCACTAGGGCCCCCAAGTCCCCTAGGCTCATCCGCGGCAAAGTCCAACTCTAGACCATTCCGGGGTAGATGAGGTACCGGTACTTTCTTCTTCTGTCTGCCACCAATGCCTGTCTGTTTGCTACTACTCTCACAGTCCCGGTCGTGTTCACCACCCAGAGTGGGACACTCGTTACGCGTGTCTCCGTCTTCAACAGCATCCTTCTTCCGTCTGTCTTTCTCCATCCTCCGCGCCCATGCCTCCTGGCACGCTTCTTCCTCCGCGCTGCTGCCCGCCGCTCTGTTCCGATATTGGTGGTGGTTGGTGGGTGGCCCTGACACATCCCCCCATGGCTCGCGGCGAGACGGTTTCTCAAAGTGGCTGACCCACTTGATGTCCTCGTCCCCGTGTCCTGAACTCACAACCTCCTTCTTCTTGTCCCGTCCACCCCCGTTGACAATGTCCCGATCCGTTCCAGGTGTGTGTGACGTCACATCAGTACCCACAGTATGTCGCTCAAAGTGACCATCCTCCACGCCACTAGTAACCGCCTCCCCCACCGCTTCATCCCCTTCACCTCTTCCATTCTGCTTCTGTCTCTGCTTCTCTCGGAACCGCTCTAGCACAGACAAGACAGGTTTCTTACTCGCCACCTTGGCCTTCTCCTCCGCCTCAGCTCTCCTCCGCTCTGCCTCCAGCCTCATCCTCCTCTCCTCATCCATCTGCTCCCTCTCTCTATCCGCCCTCTCCTTCAGCTTCTGATCCAGCTGCTCTATGAAGGGTTTCTTGTACTCCTTGTATCTCTCCAAGTCTTTCTGCCGGATGTGTCGTCGCTCGAAGGCGTAGGGATCAATCTCATCCTCCCAACAATCTAGTTCTGACTCGTCGACGGGCCGGCAGATATCTTCAACAGAGTCTTCCTCCGCATTATCGTCGACATGCTCTGATCTAAGCCGACAACCAGAAAAACGTGTTCCGTTATGTGCAAAGCCTCGAAGACCGTCTCTGCCATCCCGCTCATCATCATCATCATCATCGAACACTCCACACTTGACCGGCCCCTCCCCTGACCTTTTGTCGCAGCCAAAGTTGAGCTGTCTCCAGTGACTGTTGATCTCCATGTTGCTCACATCCCGAGCTAGGCGACAACTTTCGTCATCCTCCTCCGTCTCCCCCGCCGCGCCTTCCCCCCGCTGGTGACCTTCACGGCGCTGACCCTGAGACCTGCGCTGGTCTCCTCCGTGTCTGCGAGGCTCCCCATCCCTTCCCTGGTCTCGTCGGTTGCTGTTGCTGCTGCTGTTGTTGTTGTTGCTGCGACGGCCGGACTGAGCCCCGTCTCTGTTCTGCCACTGCTGCTGCTGACCTCTTGACCTCTCCTGACCTTCACCTCCTTTATGCGACCGGCCGCCGTGATGCTCGTCCCGATCATTATCCCAACGCCCACCCCTTCCTCCCCAGCCCTTTCCCTGCCCACCCCTCTCATAGCCCCACCGGTCCGAACCGCGAGCCCCACCCCTAGACCTGGTTCCGTCCCCTCTACTACTGATAGGTCGACCCTCATCCCCTTGACTACTGACTGACCGATCCCCGTCCCTCTCACCCGCTGAGCTGTCCGACCCACTTAAAACACTTCCTCCTCGGGCACTGGACGCTGCTGCCTCGCTATTAGACGACTTCCCACCCCTGCCCCGCCCATCCCGACCAAACCCGCCCGCCATCCGGACACCATCGCCCAGCTCCCGACCTCCCAGACTTCCATCGGTCTTCGTTACATCGGCAGACCTCCCATCTTTCTCTCCATACCTCTGCCCACCGCCAGCGCCACGACCTTGACCCGACCTCGACCCTTCACCTCTCCTCTGACCGTCTCTCTCCACCCCCTCCCCTTCATTCACGCGGCGACTCCCATCCCCCACCCTAACACTTACCACATCCCCCCTCTCACCATCTGTGACCTCCGAACCGCCACCACCCCTACTAGAGTGACCCCCACGCCCTCTGCGACCTCTGACCCTCCCCTGACCTCTGCCACCACCGTCACGGTAGCCATCTTGCCTGGGCCTGTCTTCACCAAAATCCTGCATAGTCTCTACCTCCCCTCTGGACCGGGCCCTGGAGTTCCCACCCGCCCTCCTCCCCTCATCAGCAGCTGTATTGTGCCCTCGTGAAAACGTCTCCTCACCCTCACCTTCTTTCCTCTCATTTTTCCTCCTCTCCTCCACCTTCCTCTCATTTTTCCTCCCATCCTCCATCTTCCTCTCAACTTCCCTCTCGTCTTCCCCATCACGGTGCTGCCCCCTGGATTCCCCCCCTCCTCTAGCCACACCCCTCTCACCCTGACTGCGATTTTTCCGAAACTCCTCCTGATTTCCTCGACCCCTTCCTCGCGTCTTCCCAGAACTCCTGTCACCGTCGCCCTCAGAGTTACGACCTTGACCTCCCCTCCCCCTGCCTCGACCTCCGGCAGAGTGCGGCTCTGCGCGTCTGTGGCCTTCACCCAAACCTTCGTGTTTCCTGTTGCGGTCAGTTTGTCGCGACGTGGCTTTCTCCCCCACACCATGACTGTTGTTGCGTTCATTACGAGGCGACTTTTGTCGAGACGCCGGGGCGTCGGCTGTGAGGGTCGAGCTAGTTGGGATGGTCACTACTGTGTCCTGTGACCAAAAGAAAGAAAAAAAACATGAGGATAAAGTCACAACTGTTTCCAGTGACAATGGAAAAAAAAAATGAGGATAAAGTCATAACTGTAACAGAGGTATGAGGACAAAATCACAACTGTGATAAAAGAAAAAAAAAATTAGAATAAAATCACAACTGTTTATAGTGCCGAATGAAGAAAAAAAAAAATGACAATAAAATCACAACTGTGTCCTGTTTGTTTGTTTGTTTGTTTGAGTAAAGAGAAGCACATCGGCACAATAATGTTCATTTGGTGCTGGGAAAAAGTAAGACAGACAGACAGAAACAAAAGAGGGGAAAGTAAAGAAGTAGGACATATCAGCGACCCCCCTCTAACTACCCATTCTGTGTCCTGCGGCAAAAGAAAAAATATGAAGATAAAGTCACATCTGCTTCGGGGGCTCTCGTGGCCAAGAGGCAACGGTGTTTGGCTCTCATTCAATAGGTCCCGGGTTTGAATATGGATAGCAACAGAAATTTTTCTTCTCTAAGTTGTCTCCTTTCACCTACTTTCCTGTCCTCAAGCAATGCTCTGTCATCTGCTTTCGTCTCCACTTTCTACCCCCACCTCCTCACCTCCTTTGCCCCCTCCTCTGGGCTCCTGACACTTTCTACAGCCTTTCTACTGCCACTCCCCCTGATCTTTTGGTAAGAAAGTACCAAACCCACCGTATCCCACCACCATCACACCCACGGTGTCCCGCCACTCACCGGGTTCACCAGGTACTTGTTCCTCTCCGCCTCCAGGTCAATGATGCCCCCTTTGGCCTTCTGCCGCTGGTACACCTCTGCCATGCGTCGCTGCTGGTCCCTCAGCTCACTCGACGGCACAAACGTCTCTTCTTCCACGGTCTCGTTCGACTCACACACGACAGAGAGAGACTCCGCATCCAGGGGCTCTCGGCACAGCGGGCAAACTATCACCTCCTCCTACATAGCAGCCACACACACACACACAGAAAAAACCCAACAGATTAGAATTATAAATTATAGCAACTAAACATACACACAGACTCCGCATCAAGGGGCTCTTGGCACAGCGGGCAAACTATCACATCCTCCTTCATACCAGGCACACACACACACAGAGAAAAAGCCAACAGATTAGAATTATAAATTATAGCGACTAAACATACACACACACATACACACACACACACACACATACAGACAGACTCCATATCCAGGGGTTCTCGACACAGCGGGCAAATTATCACCTCCTCCTACATACCAGGCACACACAGAGAAAGAGATTAGTATTATTCAATAGTGACCATACATAAGCAAACATATACATCTACACACACACACACACACGCACACACACAGGACAGAGAGAGACTCCGCGTCCAGGTGCTCCTGACACAGCGGGCTAACTATCACTTCCTTCTACATACAAGGCACACACACAAAAAAAAGCAGATTACAATTATATTATAGCAGTCAAACACACACACACACACCCACACTCACACACACACACACACACATATATGCACACAACAGAGAGATACTCTGCATCCAGGGGCTCTCGACACAGTGGGCAAACTATCACCTCCTCCTACATAGCAGGCACAGACAGAAAAAAAAAACAGACTAGAATTACACTATAGCAACCAAACGCACACACATACACATACACACAGAGAAAAACAGATTGGAATTATATTATAGCAACCAAACACATACACACACCGTACAGACACTGACTTCTCATCCAGGGGTTCTCGACAGAGCAGGCAAACTATCACCTTCTCCTTACATACAAGGCACACATAGAAAGAGGATAAGATTGATAAAATGTTTTCCAAACACACACATAAAAACAAGAAACTCACAACAAAGCTACCACAGGTGTGTTCCAGAACCCTTCTGATACAACAAAAGCACATACACAATAGAAGACACCCCCCCCACGCTCTCCTTCTCCATGACTTATCTGCCCCCCTCCCCCTTCCTCTCTTTCTCCAGTTTTGAGACATGACATATTCCACCTAGTTACTCCTCCCCTCCCCTCACCTTCTCCTGCTCTCGGACATGCTTAGCCCCCTCCTCCTCTCTGGTCCTCCTCTCCTCCGCCATAGCAGCGCGCGTGTGCACCAGGTACATGTGTAGACAGCGCGTGTGGAAGTAGTGGTAGCAGCCGGTGCGCTGGAACGCGTCCGTGGGCTCAAAGTGCTCCAGACACACCACGCAGGGACAGCGAGGAACGTTGCCTTCTGTCAGGCTGTCCCGCGCCATCTGAGGGAAAACACAAATAAGGGTTTTAGTTTAGTTTTAGTAGACGTTTTACAGCACTCGCAACTGCATAAGGTCATATGAGCCCCAGAAGATTAGAGGTGTTACAAGAGAGTAACAAACATTTATAAAAAAGAAGAAGGGGAGATAAGGACCATAGATGTTTGATAGGAAAGAAGGAGCAAACCACACCAGAGCACCCGCCAACCATCCACTAAGGGTTTTAGTTTTAGTAAGAGTTTTATGGCACTTGTAACACAATAAGGTCACATAAGTGCCGAAGAATAGATGTGTTACAAGAGAGTAACATATATACAAAACAGAAGGAGGAGAGATAAGTTCAGTTTCAGTAAGAATTTTCGGCACTTGCAGCACAATAAGATCATATAAATGCCGAAGAATAGATGTGTTACAAGAGAGTAACATACACAAAACAGAAGGAGGAGAGATAAGGACGATAGAAGTTTGATAGAAAAGAAGGAGCAATCCACAACAGAACACCCATCAACCACCCACAAATTCTCTCTAAAAAATTGAAGTTTCGGGAAAAGAAAACAGAGCCTCAAAATAATCCCAGTAGAATAGCCATGGCAAATATTTGTGTATTGTAAATATTCACTAATAAAACTATGTATTTTTCTGTCAATACGAAAAGTCTCACAAATATTGCAAATAAACCTTTATGTTTTTGTCATTTACAATAACACACGATAATATAGCAAATCACAAATATATTTTCACATCATTTATAATAAGTTGTATTTGACCGATGGAAATGGAATCTACACCAAAAAAAAAATATAAAACGCAAATCTGATCCGGGTTCTTCCAAGGGTAAAAACACTTTTTGTTAAAAACGAAGGGCTCTGATTTCATCAGAGTACTTAGTAGGTCTGTTTACTTTAAGCAAGAGTTTTACGGCACTTGCAACACATTAAGGTCACATAAGTGCCGAAGATTAGAGGTGTAACAAGAGAGTAACAAACACAAAAAAGAAGGCGGAGAGATTAGGACAATAGATGTTTGATAGGAAAGAAGAAGCAAACCACACCAGAGCAACGCCAAACACCCACTGCCTCTCCCCTCGACGCTTAACAGCAACAGAGGATGAAAAAGTAAAAAGTAAAGTACTTAGTAGGTCTGCTTCGACTACCAAGGCACCCCAAAATAGCAGGTCACAAGAGAGTGACAAACATACAAAAGAAGTAGAGGAAAATGACAATAGTAAGGATCAGGAAAGAAAAATTTTTAAGCAGCAGTTCCCTGTTGTAGATCAGGCACAGTTATGAGTGTGACATCAATCAGCCCATTTACAATTCTACTGTGCTTGAACGAGAAATGTCCCCCCTTTGGGAATGGCCCAAAGACACTACAGTCAGTGGCACTGCCCCCGGGGGGGTCTTAGTAGGTCTGGGATAGGAAACATACAACACCAGATCACACATAACAACAAACACAATCAGATCAAGTGAGACTGGTTTTGGTGAAGTGTATGTGATAAGGCTCTCCAACTCCTGATTACCAAATCTGAGACAGTCCCATGAGTCTGCCAGACAACATACACTATATTGGACAACTCAAATGTGTCACGACGCGAAGGAATCAGGCGCTCGTCAGATTTTATGCAAGTGGAGTTAGTGGTATCACATGAAAGCTTGTTCATTTGTCTTGACTTCCATGAAAAAAATAGCCATTTATCTTGAGTAGCAGTCGAAATATTTCCAACTGAAGGAGGTCGGGTCGCCTCGTTTCAGAAGTAAAATTAGCGAGAAAATGGCCGCCAAAGTTTAGTGACTTCCATAGCTCAAGAGTCCTTAAAAACTGCAAATTTACATTTTTCGTGCCTGTCATCAACGTTTTTCCATAAAATCCACACATAAGAATGTTTTTGAGGGGCCATACAAAAGGTGTTGAGCCAAATAACTAAAATTCGAAAAAAAATTCCAAACTGGACGAAAAATGACAATTCCTTTTATTTCATTATTTTGGCGATTTCACAAAGATGCCTCACAAATTGTGAATTCAAAACGTAAGTAAAAAAAACAAAAAACAAAAAACAAAAAGGGGCAAAATGCGGGGACAAAAAAAAGCATACGAAAAAAAACTTATGTCCAGTATTTCATAGGAATAAGCTCACCGGACCTACGTCACAAACTTCCGTTCCTCACCTCGATCAGAGTATACAACATGGGCTCTCCGAGGTACTCTGTGGCCTTGACCTTCATGTCTTGGGCCAAACTGGAGAGAGAAGGAGAGAGATTTAGAGTTAAAGGAAGAAAAAAATAAACAAATAAAGATGGCTAAATTATGCTTTTTAAAAAAGTGGTAGTAAGAGTGTTACAGCATATGCAACACAGAAAGGACACATAAGTGCCAAAGATTAGAGGTGTTACTACCAGAAAGATAATATATAAAGAAAAGATAGAGAGATAAGGACGATAAGTGTTTGATAAGAAAGGAAGACGAGACCACACCAGAGCACCCACCAACCACCCACACTAAATTCTGCAAAATCTTCAACATATTATATCTTAAATTTCCATGCAAATGAATAATATAAATTGAGATGTCATTATAACTTGAGTAAAAATGAAAGCATAATATATAATTGGTAGGAATAACATGTCTTTTATAATTTCACACTTATAAATTGTAAAAAATTCACCTATAATTATAAGCGTGATGTATCTATTTCCATAGGGATAACTCATTTTGTCAGCACGCTTCACATATATAGAACCGTATAAAACCACACAGACAGACAGACAGACAGACAGACAGACAGACAGCTAGACAGACAGACAGACAGACAGACAGACAGACAGACAGACAGACAGACAGACAGACAGACAGACAGACACCCTCCCTACCACCCACAACCTCATAACACAACATACCTCTCTATTTCCTCCTCTCCGAGGCCACGGGGATTGCGGATCTCCAGCTCAGGAGCTTCATGAGGGTACTGAAAGAAGAAGATGCAATATTATTTCAATATCATCTGTTCAAACAGCCCTTTCACCCCCCTCCCCGCAGTGCCAACGACTGTAGTGTCTTTAGGCTTAGGCCATTCCCAAAGGGGGGACATTTCTCGTTCAAGCATAGTAGAATTGTAAATGGGCCGACTCATGTCACGCTCATAACTGTGCCTGATCTACAACAGGGAACTGCTGCTTTTTCTTTCCT